GAATTACCTACGTACGGTTATCACATGCTGTGGACCAGCCATCCACCCTTACCCTACCTTTCGTGTGTCATACAGAGGTTGGCCAGAAGTGCCGTACCTACTCGTATCATACACACTCTCCTCACGCCCTCATACCTTAACCTCCACATCCATCTGCTCCTCTCTTGCTTTTTCCCTCCCCTCCCTTCCTCTCTTTCTATCATAACCAATTTTCTTTTCTTTCATTCCATTCGTATACCCACGCTTCTAGAATTACTCTAAGCGCTTGACGTTTGTTTGTTTCATCTCCGTTTGTTGTTGCAAACGAGAAAGAAAGAAAAAAAAAAAGAAAGAAAAAAAAACGCACATCGGTTAGGTTAGACATCATAGTCATGGCTACCGGCGGGGATGTTGAGGATCTCCTTGGCCGCCTCCGTCGTCAGGCTGTCATGAGCCCTCCGCATGGTGATCCACTTGCTGGTCCATCAGGGCAGCAGCAACAGCATCAACATCAACAGAATCAGCAATCCGCTCACCAATCTCAACCCCCTCAGCAACAGCATAGTCCACAAGCTGCTCGCTCTGGGATATTTCCTGCTCCTCCCTTTCATTTAGGAAATATTCTTCCTCCTCCTCCTCCTTCTCAGCACTTTTCCCGTAACAACCTTTCTGAGCCGTTGAGCAGTCCGGGCTTGCATCAATCGCAGCCTGGTTTTCCCCCGTACCACCCAGAAACTTTGCCGCCCCAACAGCCGCCGTCACAACAGCAGTCGCAGCAACTGCCAACATCACAACCTGCTGTTGCGGAGGTAGTGAATAATAATAGTAGGAATCCGTCGGGGCCTCAGATGTTTTCTCAAAATACCCCACCTCCTTACGCGAATCCGATGTCGCCTTCCGTGGATGGTGCGAATGCAAGTAGAACTGCAAGCCTGTTGCAACTGCTGAAGTTTTCCCAGGCCGTCCCCGTTGCTCCAACTTCTGAAATTTCACAGCCAGTAGCCACGCCGTCCCCACGCCCATCTGTATCATCCCCCCCTCCTATCTCTTCACATACACAGCTGCAACAGTCCCAACCATCGCATAGCGGAGGTGTCTCGGCGTCGGACCTGGTAGCATCTTTACTCGGTCGTCCGTCTGAACCGCCCGGTGGTTCGGGTTTGCGACAGGAGAATATCGCACCGGAGATGCCGACGGAGCCAACGGTTTCTAAGGGGCCTTCGGATCGTTTGTCTGCCGTGAACCCCCAGAATCTCGTGCTTCAGTTGCTCGGGCGACCTAAACCCTCCCAGGACGATTTGCCAAGCACTGGACCTGCTACGGCTCCTCGCAGCAATCCTCCCATGCCCGAACGTCACATGAGCCAGGGGCCCGGCGACTTTGGCAGCCCGAAACAGTCACCCATTCCTCCAGAGCCTCGCCCTATGTCTGTTCCCCCAGCTGCGCCATCTAAATCACCACCGCCCTCTCACGGTGTATCGATGCCGTTTTCCAGTCCTACGCCGAGCAAAGGTTTGTTCACTCATGTGAATCCCTTTGAGCAATTGCATGCGACCAGCCCACGTAATAGAACGCCTAGAAGCTCTACCACCCCTCTCCCCGCGAATAACGGTAAGAGTGGCCTAGGTACCAGAGAGGTGAAAGCTGAGAATGTTCCTTTGCCATATTCTTCTACATCCTCCTTTGCCCAGTCGGAGAACTCTCCTGTGTCGGCTACAATTGAAGCCGAAGCGGCCAAAAACGCTTCTACTTTGGACCAGGCTTTGAAGAACGAGGAAGAGATGAAGGATAACTTGAATTCTGCGGTAGTTGAGAATGCAGTTAATGCGAGTGAGCAGCGGGAAATGACCGAATCGCCTATTGGACAGCAGGAGAATGAGACCCCCCCCGCTGCCAATGGCACGTCTACTCAGGAGACTTTTGGTGATGAGGATTATGAGAACATTCCTCCTGCTCGTGGACATCACGAAAAAGAGGAGGATGATAATTATCAATCTGCATCAGAGGCCCACGGTTCGCCCGTTCTCGTTTACAATTTCCCTATGAAGCCGTTTTCGTCAATCACCATCAATCCCTCAACCGCACCACGCCCTAAGTTTCCAATCTCGAAGATTTCGGATATTGCTCGGATGCCCAGGCTCTTTGATCAACTCGATCGCAATCTTATCGCCGCTTCGCATCAGTTTATTGTGTATGCTATTAGTAAGAGCCATGGTCGCGGTGGAATCAGAGTGCTCAGACAGTTTGATGGGAAGGATAAAGTTTTGATGAAGGACAGCACCGACAGGACTTTCAACGTGACCATCGGCAATGGGGACAGGGTTCTTGGAACTGGAATCTCCGGCGCCGTCGTCTGGGCTGAGCTCGGGGACTTTGATGGACCAGACTGGAATAACATGTTTGTTTTCCCTCCGAGCGAGGAACAAGGTCAAAGCAACGGTGTCTTGAAGTCACGGGCTAGGAAAACGTGCAGACAGGCGGAAGTTTTTGCGATCGGGAGGGGAAAAACCATCAGCATCATCCATGCTCCTACCGCTAAGGCATATGCTCAGGGGCGGAAGAATAATGAAGTCGCCTCCAAAAAATACCTTGCCGAGCATTCGCGCACCATTGACACCGGCAAAGCCTCGAAAGATTTTGCCTTTTCGGATGACGACTCTGTAATCATTTCCATTGACAAGGCTGGGAAGCTTAAGCTTTGGGATGTTCAGGAACTCATCGACTTTTCCAGTAATGATGCCTACAACTCTTTACAGCCGGCACCTGCTCCACAACCTCCTATTGTCCTTACAAATCCCATTCTCATGCTCTCGGCAGTGGCAGCGGGAGAGCCTTATAGGGCTACTTCCGTCATGTTTCTGGATAAGTTCCGTCCATATCACAAGTGTTTGGCGTTAAGATACGTCATTGTTGGGATGAAGCAAAATCATACGCTCCAGTTGTGGGATCTTGCGCTCGGGAGACCGGTTCAGGAGATTAACTTTCCACAAGAGAGCGATACTGACGCATTGTGTTCGGTTGCCTATCACCCGACTACTGGCATTATCGTTGTCGGAAACCCTACCAGGAATTCAATCTACTTTATCCATCTCTCAGCACCCAAGTACAACCTTCCGCCCATGTCCCAGGCGCAATACATACGGGGACTTGCTGTTAAGGATAGCAGTATTCCTAAGCCAGATGCAACTGCTATCCTCAGCGGTCTCAGAGAGTACTCGTTTGCTTCTAAGGGTCAATTGATGAGCTTGGATATCCTTGATGGTGACGCCCAGGGAAGTCTTCCACCATTGTTTGAGCTCTACGTGGCGCATAGCAAAGGGATGACCGCCTTGAATGTTTTCAAAGAGGACTTGGGTTGGGATGGTAAAAATAGCGCCCAGAACCCAGTCGATGCTGTTAAAGAAGGTATATGTACACTTTCAGCGATGTCGCCACCACCTCCCCCAGAGAAGGACAGGGATAGCGATAATAGCAACAGGAGCGAGAAGAGCTCCAAGTGTGAGAAGGGTATTGAAAAGGTTGAGAAGCCAAAGGTACCCGAGAAAGTCAATTCGCCTGAAGAAGTTGAATCTGCCGAGATGGCCGACAAAGTGGCTGACCTTCAGTTTGGGGCAACCCAAGGACTGAAGTCGGCTCCTCCTGAGAACGCGCCCAAGGGCCCCGCAAAGTCGAGAAGCGTTAGTCCTGGTGCCAGAGCCCCCGATCAGGGTGAGGAAAAGCCGGCGGTTCATAATGGCAACACCAAGCGCAAGAGAAAGGACAAGGGTAACACACAGCAGTCAGGCCCGTCGGGTCCGTCCGACGAGAAATCGGATAAGACCGTTTTGGCCCCTATCAAGCCTAGGGGAACTTTAGCGACAGTTCAGGGCGGAGATCATGAGACTATCGCTGGTCTTTCGCCCGCACTCTTGGACCGTGAGATCAAGAAATTTGAGAAGTCCGTGTCCTCTGAGCTTGCCAAGACGTTAAACAAGGAGATCACAGATTTGTGTAAGTTGTTTTCATTTGCGAGCATTGGCCGAACCCACGCTTACAGTTATTTAGATCGCCGCATTGATGAAGATAAGAGGATTCAACAAGCTGCTGGTGATGCTAAGCAAGATGCTATCCTTAGACTTCTGTCCAGCACTCTTACGGATAACGTTGAACAGGTCATTGGGCGCATCGTCATGACCAACATCCAGCAGTCTGTCCTGCCTGCCATCTCGAGTGTTACCAGTGCGGCTGTTGAGAGGAAGCTTGGGGAAAGCGTTTCGAGGTCTTTAGCGGCTACTCTTCCTGCTGAGCTTCATGCCATTGTTCCAGAGGCCGTGAAGAAGATATTCGGCCAGCCTGAGTTTATGGCCAGGATTGGCGAAGCCATTTCTAGGCCGTTGGCTTACTCTATGGAGCAGGAAATTTCCAAAACCATCTGCCGCTCTCTCCTCCCCGCTTTCAAGCAGCTCTCGGACGAAACCACCAGTAAGCTTGTTGCCGATTTCGACAGGAAACATAATGAGACGATTCAAGCTTTGGAGCGCGTACATGTTCAGGATACCCAGAGGATTGATCAGCTCACCAATACTGTCAAGAGCCTCGTCGATGTTGTCCAGGCCATGGCTAAGTCACAGGCAGAGTTCCAGGACCAGGTGCAAAGGGCCCAAGCAGAGTACGTTCAGGCTTATGAGCAGACTGGAGAACCAGAACCGGCGCCTAGGGCCCCTACTCCCCCTCCGCCCCCCACTCCGGACCAGCTGGAGGCGGAAGAGACTGAGAGATTCTTGAGGAATGGAAGATACGAGGAGGGCACTATCAAGGTGAGATCAATCTAAATTTCATACCCAAGATGCCCGACTAATTATTGTTTTGGTAGTGGCTTCAATCGAAAGAGCGTCAAGCGGAATTGTTCGATGAAGTGGTCGTCCGATACAGATACGATTTCCTTCCAAACCTTAGCCAGCTTGTTCTCTTGTCGGTCTCTGCCGCTGTCAGCATCAAGTTTGAGAACAAGGTTTATGAGCGACTGAGCTGGCTTGAAGGTGTTCTTGCAGTTCTAGATCCTATGGTAACAATCACCTCGTTCATATATTGAGGCTCAAGCTGATGTTCTACAGGACCCCGAAATCCACGAGATTTGTCACAGAATCATGGCGGTTGTTGTCCAACGACTGGAGCAGTTGTATATGAGCACTGCTGAGAATAATATGGCCGATCCCATCCTTCGCAAAATTCCACCGATCGCTCGTCGAGCTAGGGAGCTGTCTTCCATGGCTGCTTAGATGAAGTCTGCTGCGCTTGATAATTCCCCTTTTCCAATTTCCTAACACAACTTTCTTTTTTTTTCTTCCATTACTCTGGTGGCACGGGGCGTTGGACAACGCATAGTCTTGTTTTCACTTTCTTTTCGTTTTCCACGAGACCATGTGTTTCCTCTTTTCGCTTGTTGAATTGGGTCACGAATGGTTGGTTGGTTGGAGGGGATTCCATGGGGGTGTAAAAGTACCATTATTAGGTTAGATACTGGATTGGGGGATACTACGCAAAGCACATGTTTCGGTGAATTTTCGCTTTCTATTTTCGTTACACCTTTTATCTCCTTTCGCTTGGTCCTGATTGTTTGTATACTTGCTACTTTCCTCGTTCACGACTCTCTTGCGTTAGTCACGTCGGCTGTACTTGTATAGTAAAGGCTATGAATGAATGCAGCAATAACGGTCTCTTAATTGTGCGCAAATCAGTTCTCTTAGAGCAGCCCGAGCATACACTTTAGGTAGAGCAGGGCTTATATATTTCTTTATTTCCCTTATTTCCCTTACTTTTTCCCCATGACATCGCAATTGACGGAGCGAGGTCGGGTGAAGTCGTAGCTGAGCGCTCCACCCGACTGGTACTTGTAGTTGCTATGATACCTGCATGTTTTATGATACTCGCAGCAATCTGTGGGGAAATGTATAAACAAAACAAACCCATAAGTTATCAGCTACTCCCGTTCGTCCCTTAAATTTACCCCCCCACACACACAAGCATACCATCACCGCAACCCTCTCCACCCATCACTCCCCGCTGCCACCACCACCACCACAACCCCGAATCGAGCATCGCTTAGCTTTCTCCCATTCCTCCATCATTCCAGACCGTCTCAGTCCATCTGACCATTCCCCCTCCACCAGCGTAATTCGCTAACTGCCCCAGCATCAAAACAAATAATAAACCCTCCAACCACCTACCTGCCCGCGGCTCTTTCTAGGGAGAGAGGGGAAAAGAGAGCTATGACCTCCTTCATGAACTCAATGTCGCTCCTCCACCGCCCCATATCCCCCCTTCTACCCCCGCCTGTCTACTACTCCCCGCTGACTCTCCCCTTCAGAAACCAGAAGACGCGCGCCCCGTTTAAGCCCAAGTCATCCTCTCGTGGCTCCTCGTCGTACCAACTCCGGCAGTATGCAGAGCAGACGCTTGGCAGCGGGAGTTTGAGGAAGGTGGTCAAGCTGCCGGAGGGTGAGGACTTGGATGAGTGGTTGGCAGTTAATGGTTACTAGCCCTTCTTCAGATGGGTGGGGGCATTGAGAGCTAATGGAGGATTGGCAGTGGTCGATTTTTACAATCAGATCAATTTACTCTATGGTTCTATTACGGAGTTTTGCTCGCCCGTGACATGTCCGGAGATGAAAGCTACCGATGAGTTCGAGTACCTCTGGCAGGATCAGAACAAGTATAAGCGTCCGACAAAGATGCCGGCTCCGGAGTATATCGAGCACTTGATGGCTTGGGTGCAGAACAATATCAATAATGAGCAGATTTTTCCTTCGAGGATAGGTTGGCAGTCCCTAAGAAGCTATAATGCGGTAGCTAATAGGAGGGATTTTCGCAGGCGTTCACTTTCCGAAGAACTTCCAGGCTACAGTCAGACAACTTGTCAAAAGACTGTTCAGGGTATACGCACATATCTACTGCCACCACTATCCAGTTATCGTAGCGCTTGGATTGGACCCGCATATGAACACCAGTTTCAAGCATTATGTTCTCTTTATCAAGGAGTTTGACTTGGAGAGTGGGAAGGACTTTTACGGGCCTTTGTCGGACATGGTCGAGACTATCCTCAAGACAGATACTTAGCCTCCCACCACGAGAAACGAACATCTCGTGGCCTCGGGTGGGATTTTCATTTTTCCTTTGTTTGGTCTGTTTCTTGATGGGCGCTTGGGTGATACCCTTTATGCAATGTGGCATGGTGTACGGTCGGCATACGGATGTGTTTTTTCGAAGGGGTGTTGTTAGACTCAGATAGGCATGATTATTAACTTATTTCTAACTGCGAGGGAGTTTTTTTGTGTAGGATATTCTTGAGGCTATTTTAGGGTAGCAGTAGTAGTTCTCTCCCTGGCCGGAATGGATAAGGCTAGTTTCTCCCGTCATTAGGGAGGTTCTGCACCAAGGTGCGCACCACGTTTCCACAGCAATGGGGTGGCAAAAGTGGCTGGTGATGGTTTTTTTTTATAATACACACTAATTTTTGCACCATGTACATGCAGAGGTGATGCAGATGTGTTTACATAGTAAACAGAGGTTTTCTTAGTCAGGATACAGTAATAAAGGCATAGCTTATACAACAACAGGTAAGTGTGTAGAGACAAACATCATCCATGATAAATATCCTACGATGAACTTGAACATCCTACAAGTTACAACTATCCGCCTTGCTGCTGTGGCAGCAGATCTTAATACAAGAAAAATCTTAAATTCAGTCATCCTCCACCAAAGACGAAAGTCTAAAACTGTTCAAGTCTTACTTTCTGGTCCTACAAGAGTCCTTAAAAACTATTCACAAAAAAGAAAAATACCATATCAGTAGTTTGATTGGAGTATTGAAGACCAAACTGATGATTGGTGTATTGAGTTTTTAAGGTTCAATGGAGCTCAAATTATAGAGCTTGCAAACCTGTTACGAATACCAGATACCTTCTGTTACCGCTATCGTGCTAACCCCGTTATTGCCCTCGCTGTTACTCCCTACAGATTGTCTTATCCGAGTCACCTGAAGCAAAGCATTAGCATTTTTGGTTACGAGCGCGGGTGGCTTTCCACCATATTTAACGATGTATGTTCTCACCTATACCAATATTTTGCCGGAAAGCTTCACTGGGATTCAGAGTTGCTATCGCCTCAATGGTTAGAAAAATATTGCACTGCAATTGCAAATAAAGAAGAACCAACTGGCCTGATTTGGGGGTTTATTGATGGAACCCAATGGCCAATTTGCTGACCTGAATCAGAAACTGCTAATTAAGCACTATTTTACAGTGGCTACAAAAAACAATATACGATACAGTTTCAGGCAATTACCACTCCAGATGGGTTAATTGTAAGCCTATCTGGGCCATGGGAAGGACAGTTAGGTGATTGGGCAATATGGGTTAATTCAGGAATTGGAAAAGTACTGGGTCAGTATGGAAGGAATGTATTTGGGGAACAGCTTTATGTTTATGGTGATGCTGCATACTCAGTTGAAACTGGGGTTATTGGTGCATTTTCAGTACCAGCTGGCAGTGTTTTAAGTCTGGAAAAAGCAGTTTTTAATGCCTATATGGCAAAGCAAAGAATGTCTGTTGAGTGGAGCTTCGGAAAGATTTTACAATATTTTACATTTTTGGGTTTTAAGTATGGTTTAAAAGTAGGACTTTCACCAATTGCAACATGGTATTTCACAAGAGTTTTGTTGACAAATTGTCATACATGTTATTATAGTTCAAATACCGTAGATTCTGTTGGCTGTTCTCCTCCTAGTATTAAAGAGTATCTTTGTACTAAATTATCAAAAGAATAAGTATTATATTCTAACTACTAAACTTTGATGCCATTAAAGAAAGAACCTGATCAAGTTTTTCCTTAACTTCTCCTGACTGCTCCTCAATCTGTTGAATTCTCTCTTCCAGTCTTTTTATTGGCTGTGACGACTCATTTGACTGTTCCGATTCTGAACTTACTCCAACTACATTCCCGATTATATACTCCCAGCGGTCTATCTGCTCTGCTTGCATATCCCTTAGTGAACGTAAAGTTTCTTGGTCATCTTCCTTCATTGAGCTGAGTATCTGACTTGTTATTTGTTACTTCGAGGTAAAGGGTTTTATTATAGTAATATCACTATCTATTAATATTAAATTAGTGGTTTTATAACAATAACAGTAGTTTATGGAAAGACTTTTATACTTACCGGAGGCAGGGTCAATATCCTCTCTGGTAGCGGTCCCCCTACGGTGATCCTCTAATCCTACTAGCCCCTCCAACTCATCAGATCTTTGCTTCCCCTTTTTGGCAAAGCCGTATATCATATCTTCTCTTGTCTGAATCGCTTCTCTTTTTTTAGCTTCTACTTTTGATTCTTTTTCTGCCTTTTGCTCCTTGATCAACTGTTCATGGTCATCATAAAGCTCAATCTACTTGTCCAATGCTTGATTATAGTCGGTATCAGCATGTGCAACACCACTTTTCCCCCTCTCATCCTGAAATTGAGATCGTCTCATTGCCTCCCTTCTTTGAATAAAGCCTTTGACATTAACATCAATGCCATACAACTCTCTATATTTGACTCTCAAAAAGTCATAAAACTTTTCCTTACTCTTTATATACAGATGAAAATGGTTACAACAAAGTTGGACCAAGCAGGCTTGAGAGTCATCATCCTTCAGAATAGTATGAGGTTTATTGGTACCTGGTAGTGATTGGGTAGTTCCTTGGATTAAAAGTTCTTGCATAAAGTGTTGGGATAGAATGGGGAACGTGGATGTTGTAGAAAGTGTGGAGGATGTTGGAGTTGTAGAGGTGATGGAAATTGTGGAAGGTGTGAAGAGCATGGAAAATCCAGAATAGGTGGAGAGTGTGGGGGGGAACGTAGGATGAATGGACGATGGAGGAAGTATGTAGGTAGTTGCTGGAACAAACTCAGACTCAGAAAATTGTGGTACTTGTTCTGAGACTTTTATAGTTTCCTAGTCTCATAATTTACTGTTAGTAATGGTTACTCTCAGTAAATGTATTATAAGAGACAAGTTCCTAATACAATACATTTTTCCGAGAACTTTGCTGAATCTCGTCCAATTTCCTATCAGCATGGGACTCATTCATCTTGCTCATCATAGTACTACCAGCTTAAGAGAATGTTCTATAACTCCTTAATGTCAGTAAAACTTTTGACTCAATTCCTAACCAGTGGAAGGATTCAACTATACCCAGTCGGATCTGAGTCGCGACACAAATCCTCCTAGCCTCCAGGTAGGAACTCTCTGAAACCCAGTGTACGTACAAGCTGACAGAAACACTAAGGTCTTAAAAACAAATCAGAATAGAATAGACAACCAAAATGAGTTTTAAATTGATAGTAACGTTGATGTTAGAATAAGAGTGGGTTGAGAAGATGAGCAGGAGATACATGATAAACAAACTGAAGTCACATGTTATATTTCGTCATTCTCACGATTGAACTGCATAATACACAGAATCCTCCTAGAATTGATACACCATTTCCACACCTGCACCACCCTGTTGTCGGGTGTACCCCAATGCAGAACCTCCCTATTGACCTTAAAGCCGTTCGTATTTCATGTTGCATTGGGTGGGTTGGATTGTATGTGATGGGAGTGTTTCTCCTGGAGAAGAGCGATCCTTTTTAGTACTTGTATGATATGATATAATTATACAGGTATTGTATACCAAGTACAGTAATGATTATCATATATGTACCGAGCAGTCGCGTTGTAGAGTGATACTTACTCGGCAATGCCTAGTTGGTATTACACTGCCTTCGGTCATCCCCCCGTCCGACTAGAGATAAAAGATCACTCCACTGGGGGCCAGCACGTCCAGTTCGGTTACCTTCATCACATGAAGTGAATGCGTCATGGTTCTTCCCTATATTCCTAGCTGCTAGTCAAGGCTGGACCAGTTGAAAAATGGGGAATGTGGTTTATCAAGGTGGTTTTCTTTGTTGGGTTCTTTTGTGTTTCCTTTCTCAAGAGAATACGGTGTGGGTTTTCTTGTTGGCTCCTGCCGGTCCTGTTTTGTGCTTTTTTTGTTTTATGCAGAAGGAGCTTTCATGGGGGCGGATGTACAGTTGGTCCTATACTAGAGGGACTTGGGCTGACTTGTTTTCCCCTAGGCCTGTGGAGGAGGTTTTTGACCAGCATGTCTAAGAACTAAATCGGGAGTGTGGTGTGGTTATTGCAGAGGTGCTCTTGTATCTAGGATCCATTCTTTAGCTGGGCTGTACTCTTATAGTAGAGGTTTGCACCTTTAAGCAAATAGATTCTATGATTTAATAAAAAAAAAAAAAAGCGCTGAGGAGTAATATCTGATCTTATTAAAGGCCACAATCAGATCATCTGATATGCTGTGATCATATTTACCCCTGTAGTATTTTCCATTAAAACAGGACTTTGCTTGTACGACTATCCATATCTTCTCCCGCAGACTTTCATCATTCACAACGCACTTAAGCGTAGATTGAGGGGATGCTAGTTTTGGGGTAAGGAAGAGGTGCTCAGGTAGTTAAGGTATTACGCAAGGGTTAAGAAGTGTGAGGTCGAGCCAAGTGTCTACCAGGTCATCTAGACTAATAGGGATGCATTGGAGTTAGAGGATTTGGTGGTTAGGGAGTTTGAGATTCTAGACCTCGAGTCTGGAAGTACAAAATTGGATTCAGACAAAAGGAAGCCAGTATCATTGAAAGAATGGAATGGGTGGTTTGACCTGAAAACTGGGAAATTAGCCATTACAGCCAACGAGGCAAAAGAGCGCACATTCTATGGTGGTAGATGTAACCGGTACGGGTACTCGGTTATTGGTTTTGTTTTATGTTTTGTTTTAAGTATCGCTTTGATACTTGGTTTGTTTTAAGTATCGTTTGATACTTGGTTTTGTTTTATGTTTTGTTTTAAGTATTGCTTTGATACTTGGTTTGTTTTAAGTATCGTTTGATACTTGGTTTTGTTTTATGTTTTGTTTTAAGTATCGCTTTGATACTTGGTTTGTTTTAAGTATCGTTTGATACTTGGTTTTGTTTTATATTTTGTTTTAAGTATCGCTTTGATACTTGGTTTGTTTTAAGTATCGTTTGATACTTGGTTTTGTTTTATGTTTTGTTTTAAGTATCGCTTTGATACTTAGTTTGTTTTAAGTATCGTTTGATACTTGGTTTTGTTTTATGTTTTGTTTTAAGTATCGCTTTGATACTTAGGAAGTTTTACCAAAGAGTATCAATTGATACCTTTGATTAGTTTCGTTCATGCTGGACATGAACAGATTTGTGTATTTAAAGACCGCCTGTTTCTACGATAGAAAAGGCAGACTTCGACAGACAGTATTCCAATATACTTGGTTGAATGGTTACTTCTTTGTTTCACAGTACACCCTCGAAGCCTCCTTTAGTTC